CTGTGTGTGCATTTCCTGATGTAGCAATTGTTTCTGTAAAGAAGACATTCCTTTCTTCTGTTGTCACACAAGCACATACAACAGGATCATTGTGGACATTGCTGCACCCATCAAGACTCAGGTTAGCAATTTTACCCTCTAGACCTTTTGCACACTGCTTCTTTCATACACTTTACCCAGCAATTTGCCTGCGACATCTGCTCTGTTGGGTGGACTGTATCTTGGTCTTAATGACTGAACCATGTAAATGAAGTGTGGGTTCTCAATCATACGGAAAGGGAGTTTGTTGCATAAACAAATCGGGCAATTTTTTCATCAATTGCCTCTTTTTGTAATCTGCTGGTTCTTATCACAAACTTATCCATGGTTGTTTCTGGATGATGGAGATTTTTTTCCCCCCTTTTGCTACAGGTGTTATACTGTGGCTATGTAACATACATGATGTGACCTGAAACGCTATCATTGGCAGATAACTCTGAAACTATAGAAAATGATGGTGATCTTGAAGGTGGATAGTCTTCAGAATCCTGTATGTTGAGGCTGGATTCTCCTAAACAAAATAAGTCAATGCAGTTATTTAATTATTATTCCATACTGCTCATTTAGTATTACTTATTACATTCACTGACACAGAGTACTACTTTAAAGGTGAAATTGTAAAAGGAAGATCTGCCTATTTCAGCAATTTATTTTTTTATCACAACTGCACTTAAAATGATAGTACCATAGAGTAACAACTATATTTTTTGCTCAAACATGAGAATTCAAGAATAAGAGGAAGACAGAAGGAAGACAGGCAGGCAGGCAGTCCTTAAGAAAGAAGTATGAAATAAAAAAGTTTACCAACCTGAAGATCCTGCATGTTCAGACACATTCCTTTCATCATTTTCAACATAGCTTCCTCGTGAGAAGGAACATTTCTCATGATGTTGTTTCATTAGGGCAACCAATTTCTTTGTTGCACTGTTTTCATTTTGCACGCATTCCTGTCTTACCCACGGGTAGAGGAACTTCATTAAAATATTCCCAAACTGGGTCTCTCTTATGGCCTGCTGCCATTATAGATTTTCCCTTCTAGTGAGAGAATGGTATGGTAGATTTCAAATCAATGAAGACCACTTAGAAAGACCTCTAGAATTCTGGAATATGCTGCTCAAACCGTTCCACTTTTGTTCCTACTGCCTGTCCCTCCCTTCTCACATTTATCTCCAGACTTCTTCTCCTTGTCCAGATCTATTCCGCCCCCAACAATCTTCTATTCATTGAACTTTTTGAAACTTTGCACTTTTAGAGAGAGGTAAGGGATTGACACTGTGTACAGAAATTTGCAGAGGGACAATAGGGTTGAGGTCTGTTATTTCTTACCTCTCTATATATTTTTATTTATTTATTTATTTATTTAAAAACATTTTTGCTGTTAACAAGCATGTTCTCTCTGGAGACGCAAATCCACAGTTTGAGAACTGCAAAACTAAGCATCTCTGATGGTATCTTCTAGACTGAGCACTAGTCCCATTGGGTAGATAGAAAGATTAACCTAAATAATCTATACAGAAGCCTCTGGAACTCCATAAAATCAGGTCCCTAATCCATGAACTATTGAAACTCATTTACAAAACTTTTCTTAAACATTACATTAATATATTGTCTCATACTATAGAATTAGAATTTATAATCCCTATTCCATTATGAGATATCTTTGCGCTATAATGTATCTTAATTAAAACTATCTTTAAATAGGTTTTTTCCTCAAAAAGCATTTTATCCAAAAAAATCTGATTTTTTTTTATTTATATATATATATAATATATATATTTTAAAAATCATTGATTTTTATCCACCCTGGCATTAGCAGTTAGTTTAGTCAGTCGGTGATTCTCTTTCAGTTCTGTGTGATGGCAGACCTGAAAAAGCAGAAGAGCCTGGGGTTAAAATATGCACTTCCTGCCCAGATGTCTTCCCCGCATACTACAGCCACATACGGTGCCTCAAGTGCCTGGAGAAAGACATTCACCTTCTGGGTGTTTGATCTTCTGCATTTGCTCCCAGAACCCACAAGGATAAAGAGACTTTCATGCCAGGGCCAGCGTTAGACTCACTGGGACCCAGGGCAGACACTAAGGAGTGGGCCTCCACCCGCTGAAGCCAAAGCCCCACTGCCCAGGGCTGAAGCCTGAACTGTTTGGCATTGCTATGCCCCTCCCCAGCATTCCTCTGCGCCCTCTGTGGGGGGGCGCCCCACAGTTTGAAAACCTCTGCTTTAGTGTGATTTATTTCCACTTTTAGAGATTAAATTACTGAAATATTCATATTACATTTACCCACAGTGACTCTGTAGATGTGATGTAACTTAGCTTTGCAGGGCCCCCTGTGGCTTGGGGCCCCAGGCAATTGCCCTGCTTGCTACTCGCTAACGCCAGCCCTGTCTCCTGCAGCTCCTCCTCCTGAAGGGAGCCCTCAAGGTGAGACCCTCTGGAAGATTGCTCAGATCCAGTCCAAGATCTATATGGCCTATATTAGGGTACGTATTCACTACCCGCCGTATCGGCGGGTAGTAATCGCTCTATCGGGGATCGATTTATTGCGTCTCATCTAGACGCGATAAATCGATCCCCGAACGCGCTCCCCGTCGACTCCGGAACTCCACCAGAGCGAGAGGCAGAAGCAGATTCGACGGGGGAGCCGCGGCCGTCGATCCCGCGCCGTGAGGACCAGAGCTATTCTCGTAGCTGAAGTTGCATATCTTAGATCGATTCCCCCCCCCCCCAAGTGTAGACCAGCCCTTAGTCCCTGTGGCTCTCAGCAGCAAAAGACTGAGGAGTCCAAGAAGCCATACCCACTGTTGGGGCCGGATCTGGTCTCTGCAGCTTCCTCAGTTAAACTTTTGAGACTAAATATCTTAGCCCCTGTGGCTCTCGGCAACAAAAGACTGAAGAGTCCAAAGTTCTTGCAAAGACTAGAGCCATGTCCTACATATGTAGGTACAGTGCAAACTTCCTTGTGTAAATCTGCCACTATGCTCCTTAATCCTGACCTACATCAATCCTACTGTTACATGTCTCTATATGTTTGAGCGGAAACTACTAATTTTTCCAAGATATGGGATAATCTTGTTGCTGTAACTTCCTTGGTTGTAGGTCTGTTTACAGGGTTGTCTTAAGTCTGAAACAGGAGAGAAGTCAACCTGTCTGAATATTTTTGCTAAAAAAACTTAACTAAAGGGACATATTTGAATAGGGTCCACAACCTGAACAAAGATTCCAGAATTGGTTGAACAAAGTTGATTTAGAACTTGCTTATTCCTAATTCTGCTCTTGTTTTTAAAATGTTCCAGCAGAAAGAGAAAATCTGACCTAGTACGCTGTTTTATTACTCAAAAATAACGACCTGTGTTTGTTTTGACTCTGCTGGGCATGAGTGCTGGGAGCATGAGCAGGCACTCTGTGTGCACTCATAAAAGGAGCTTGTGCCTATTTCTGGCCCTGGCATCCTGGAGGGTAGGTGTAAACACCAGCCGTTGTTCCGGTCCGTGAGTTGGGTGTTTTGGTTTGCATATTTTCTCTTTTGGAAAAGCATTAAGAATAAGATACAGAAATCTTTTCTACTCCTGAATGGTTCACAGAACTTCAGTTTCCTAGTTCCATTGTATGTATTTGTCCAACCTCCTTCCCTCTCCATTTTTAAAGTGTCCTTTAAGTATAGCAACACTTGTTTACAGTGTCTAATATTTGTGTATGTGTGTTGGGGGGATGTTTATTTTTAACTAATGTAAGATAATACCATGCACTGCTGAGTTTATCTTTGATTTGGCTGTAGGAAATCATCTTTACATGTGAAAAGGATTTATGAGTAGGTGTGGAATTGATTGTACCACAAAATGCAGGATTCAAGATTTTAGAGACACTGGCAGACTGTCTCTTTGAATCTCATGTTATGTCTGGGCTCAAATTTTCCAGTAAATTAAGTTTTGCAATTGGTATTGGACTATAAAAACTTCTTTGTGCATCTTAAAAGTTGTTGCAATGTCACTGCTTTCATAGTGGGGGGTGCTGAAAGCCATTGAACAAAACTAAATATGATGGAAACCCTGCTGCACCTCCAATACCCCTAATTCCAGCAGCCGTGCTTGAAAGCAGTAAATTTAAACTTAAAATCAAAACTATTTGGGTTTAATGGAAAGTACCTAATCTTGTGCCACTTACAAAACTCTGTGCATTGCATTATTGTCTTTCCTATATTCTGTGTGTTAAATGACTCTTCCATTACTAAACTGGAAGTAAACTATAACTTTTTAATTACCTCAGTTTCTTTTTCCTATAAGCTGCAGGTTGTGGCACAACATTAGAATATTTGTAATAATTAGACCCATTCTCTTGCATCTGTGTACTGAATGGATTGAAGTGACCTTTAAATCTGGTAACATAGAAATCCTCGTATGTATTTAACTTGCCTATTTAACTATCAAAAGAACCGACCTAGCCCTCTTGGATGAAAGAATTCTGAAAGGGATATTCTCAAGTGCATCCTTCAAAAGACATATTCTAGCTATGATCTAGACACACACATGCATTGTGCCTTACAGCAGTAAATTTGTATTTACAGGTGTGGAGAAACAATTTACTTGTGTTACCTTTCTGAATAATGTGCTGAGCAAAATGGGTGCAGCGCTAGACCCAGCTGACTAACAGGGGGCTCCTGCTTAGTGGGAGGAAATTAGAGGAAAGCCAGAAGAATCTTCCCTGACACTAGAAATCGGGGAAGGGATAGAGCAATGACCTAAATGACCCTCCCTCTTCTTCTCTCTCTCCCCTCCCCCACATCACCACTCCAGATGACATTGAATGACATTTACAGGCTCCATAGGAGGGCCACATCCACCCTCTTCGGCTAGCCTGAGTCTTGGCATGACACTGAGCCCTTCAATGGGGAAGATGAGGACATCTCAGAATATTACTTTGGAAAAGTAGATCCTGCTAAGACTTACCTCTCTGTATTTTCAGGTGCACTCACAGTTGGCCTTGTGCGACAGTGTCAAACCATCCATGGACGTGACAGGACCTGTATTCCTCCACGGCTGCCTCCTGAGTGGGTCACCACATTATTTTTCATCATTATGGGAATCATTTCACTGACTGTCACATGTGGTTTGCTAGTGGCTTCCCACTGGCGAAGAGAAGCTACTAAATATGCCCGCTGGATAGCATTCACTGGAAGTAAGTGACTTCAGCTACGAAGTAAGCCTGTCTGAAGGATTAACTGGTAGAATTTTTTTTCTTTTTTTCTTTTTACCAAATCTGGGTGGGGGTTGTTGCCAGAGACCAGTGGTAAAACTCTGCCCTGATCAGACAGAATGCTTTTCCTTTTAAATTCCTGCTTTGTGGAAATAATCCTCTTCTTTAAAATCAAGGGTTTGGTATCCAGAAGTGGCTGAGAATCAAGGGAAGATCTTTGGGATCCTGGCTTTATAGTCACAGTGCTGATCACCTGCTGCAGCCCCAGGGTAGAGGAAGAAAGAAGTACACCTCCGGACCATGGTAGCTTCCAGCCCCTCTCCCCACAGGGAACGTCACAAAGTGGCCCAAGGAAATGGGTGTGCAGGAGTGGGGATGGTTAGGTTGTTCCTGAGTCATGTGAACTCTTAATTTGGCCAGTGTGGCTGGTACTCACTGGTGGCTGGAATAATGGAATGGTTGAAGCCTTTTTTACCCACATGTGGAGGAGGGTGTTGGTGGACCTTGGTCTCATTATTGCCCTGGAATCAGTCCTGTTGAAGTCTCCTTCTGTAAACATTTGATGCAGGGTTGATGCTAACTCTGTTTTGTTACAATTCTCATGAAAGTTGTTTTGTCTTATTTGTAATGAGGTCCACAGATCCATGACATTGGTTACATGTACCCCTGAGGGTACACAGAGGTCTTCCAAAGGGCATGTCAACTCATCTAAATATTTTCCTAGTTTTACAGTAGGCTACTTGAAAAGCACTAGCAAAGTCAGTACAAACTAAAATTTTATACAGACAAGTGACTTGTTTATACTGCTCTATATACTATATTAGAGTTTCTCGACCTGGGGATGGTTTTAGGGGGGTGGCAAGTGCAGGGGTGGCAAGCAGGGCCCCCGCAAAGCTAAGATACATGCTGGAGCCAAAGCCCCGCTGCCCGGGGCTGAGATCAGACACCTGAATGGGGTACAGTGGTCTGGAAAGGTTGAGAATCACTGCTCTAGGCAGCCTTGGAGGCAGACCAAACCTGTCAATCAGAGGCAGTGGAGGTGTGGCTTCACCACTGAGAAACTGCCAGTTTTCATTTGCATTTCCAGCTGCAGGCAGGCAGGCAGACCAGCTCGTCCCTGCTTCAGAGGAAATTTAGGGAGAAAGAAAAGGGAAAAAAATGGCTTAAACTCTCCATGCTGTCGGGATTTTATTGACAGAGAGGATTCCCTTTCTCCTCAGTCACTGGAGGACTCTGTATTCCCTGCGCACCCACCTGTAGTGCAGCATGGTAGAGAAGGCCAAGGAAAAAACCTTGCACTAGCCCTCTGATTAGGTGCCTGCATGGAGATCATTGCCTGTTCTGTGAAGATCCAAGCTTCTCACATGCTCAGGAAGGGGCAGGGTTTCCTTCAGTCTCCCTCCCCAAGCAGGAGAGCTTCCTGGAAGCAATGGCAGCAGCTCATCTGCAAAAATCCCTGAACCTGGTACACGTGACAGGAGACAGCATTTGCCCTGGCATTAGCAAGTGGCAATTCCTCCTCCGTTCCCCTCGCCCCCTAAACTTGGGGTGAGTGTAGGTTGAAGCACAATAGCAGAGGGCCAGGGAAGCTTCCCACCCAATCACTGGAGCCCACATTCACAGCCATGTCTGGTGACCATGGAGCAGCTTTGGAACCCCATCCAGCACAAAACCCCTCTTTCTCAAGGCTACTCAAAAGAGCTAACCAGAAGGTTCACGCCCATCCAAACCATCCATCTAAAATGTCTCTCCTCTTCTGATGAGGATTAAGGGTAGGCATAAGAAAGATGGTCGGACCCCTCTAGTCGCCCCAACATCAAACACACAACCCACACCCCTTAATTTTCTAAGAGTCTGATTTAGAGGATTCCTCTAGGAGGCACTCTAAGAGGCATAAAATGAAATCCATTTCCCTCAAACTGCATAAATCTGCAGAATGCAGCAGGACAGATAATCCTTCGTGTCTGGTTCCTCTGCTCGCTTTCATGGAGTACAGCAATGCAGAAATCCTAGGCATTTAGTTCCCCAGATCACCCTCACAGAGAGCATCTCAGGGGATAGTCAGTGTTGGGATCCCCTCTTCACCCTCACAGAGGGCAGCATGGCAAGTCTGTGCACATTGTGGACATGCGCTGTTTCCTGTAGCCATGCATACACACACCCCACAAAGGGAATTCTCCCTGCTTATGGGAGGAAGGCCAGTACTCCAAGTCCTAGCGAATGACTCAAATAATAAAATTATTAAAATAAAAAACACTCAGAGAATAGACTTTGATTAAAAAATGTACCAAGGATGATGGTCTACAATTATGAGGTTTGCCGATGCCTCAGACAAGCTATAGCTATATATCCCTCCTTATGCATCCTTTGAGTGTGTGATAGTGGGGTAGGGATTTTCCTAACACACCTAAAGACTGGGAAAGTATTTGGCTGTCCTCAGCTCCCTCTGTGAATTTCCATATCTTCCAGAAGGTTCCTTGGTGTACACCAGTCAAAAGTCCTCCTGGTAACACTATCAAAAATAATTGTGCCTTTTTTTTCTAATGGTCAGGGACTAGATGTTTCTAAATGGGGAAAGTGTTTTACCTGAAAGAGTGGCCTCCTCACTATACAGACCCTTCATAGGCAGCCAAATCCACGCAGGCATAATCTTAGCCCATCCTTTGGCATGAAAACTATCTGGGGGTGTCAGGCCAACAAGAATAAATAAATAAACAAAAGAACTGTCATCTGGGTGGACAGTGTTGCAAGTGTGCTGTCTCTCAGGCTTTTTAAAAAAATAAAACAAAGCACATGTCCTAAGGCTTCTCCCTGAGGAAGAGGAGGAGTCAGGGTTTGCAGAGAGGCATACAAATCTGCTACATCCCATCTGCTACAAATGGGAATAATTTAATCTGTTCATCCTCTTCAGAAGAACCATGACCTTACTCCATGTTGTGCCTTTAGTTAAAAAAAAAAAAAAGTCAGAAGGCTACAGAGCATTTCTCAACATCAAGTATCTCAACAGAGCCATTAAAAAAAAAAAATACCAAGATAGAGACCGTAACATCCACAGACATCCATAGATGTGAAGGATGCCTATGTCCAATTTGACAGTCTCACAGATGCTTCCTTAGCTTTATCCTTGGAGCACCACATTACCAATACAGCAATGGTTTAGCAACAGCACTGCAAGTATTTACAAAAGTGCTGGTAGTGCTAATATCTGCTCTCAGATAGGATAGGGTCTATGTCTACCCATTCCCGGGTGACTTCTTTATCCAAGCCTCATTGATTGTACCACCGAAGCAATAAGGATGTTTCAGAGCCAAGGTTTTGTGAAAAAATCAGTTAAGTCTCAGTGTATTTCTAGTCTGAGTGGGAACAGTCACTGCCCTCTACAAAGTTGTTTATTGCAGCAAAGATACAAGAAGCAGAGAACTCTTATCAAAATAGTCAACCTCTCAGGGGAAGTACCAATTCATACTCTTTGGGGATCAGTGATCTCTTCTGTGGTTATTCTTAGAGGTCCAATGCTCACATGAGGTTGCTACAGAGCTTTCTCTTATCTCCCAGCTGTCTCTTACCTGCACCGTGAAGGTGTCTCACCCCAGGAGGATTCTCATGGGTTCAAGGACTGCCCAAGGGTCTAGTCCAAAAAAGAGTGAAAGCACAGCATAAAGTGGTGAGAGCTCAGGGCAATCCAGTATAGGTTCAAAGCTCTGCTCCCACATCCGAATTTTCCTAATGGACTGACCATGACAGACAACACCTCAGCCATGTCATACATCAACAGGCAAAAGGAATAAGGACTATTGTCCTTCAAAGAGAAGCTTACCTCCTGATGAGGTGGGCAAAGAAGAATCTGCAATCAACTTGTTACTTTCACATCCAAAGCAATAATTGAATGTTATGCTTGACTGGCTCAGCTGGCAAAACTTAGATCCTCCAGAATGGGACCTACACTCATCTCCTGGTAAAGATATTTAGTATCTCAGCTGTAGATCTCTTTGCTTTCCACCTGAATCACAAGGTTTCAGTGTTGTTCTCTTGCCAGTGGGATCACAGAGCCAAGGCAAGAGATGCCTTGTTGCAAAGATAGGCAAAAGGGATTCTTACATGCCTTACCTCCCTTTTTCTCTTCACACCAGAATGCTACAGACCATTAGGAGAGAAGCAGCACTAATAATTCTAATATCCCCATTCTGACCAATCTCCTTGATATGATACAAAGACCTCCCAACTGATTTCCATTCAGAAGGGATATGCTATTACAAGGGCCAGTCAGAATTCAGACAGTCTGAGCCCAGCTGCCTGGTTCTTGAACCAGAGCCTCTTAAGCCAAAGAGATTATTCAGCGATCTAATACTCACAATTTTCGCTTCCAGAAATAAATCTACTAACTCAGCCTATTCAAGTGCCTGGTTGAGTTTTAACCATTGAGGCTAGCACCAGGGTTTCACCCCCACATCTGTATTGGGACCACAGATCCTCTAATTTCTTCAAATGGATTCGGGTTAGGCCTGACAGTTCAGACTCTCAAAGGTCAAGTTGCTGTCTGTCTAGCATCGTTAGTGAAATGGACAGGTAGTGAATTTAATCTTACCTAGATATCCAGCATTTTTCTGAGGAGAGCAGCATCTCTTTTACATCTTTCTGGTGTGCATAAAGGTTTTTTTTTGTTTGTTTGTTTTTTGGCTCTTAGCTGGTTCTCAGTGCCATTAGAAGCCCTCCATTTGGACAATTCATTAAGGTGTCTCATTACTTTCTAACCATTAAAATGGCCTTTTTGGATGACAGTCATTTTTTTGGGTTTCAGAGGGGTAGGCATGTTAGTCTTGGCAAAAAAAATGAGGAGTCCTTGTGGCATCTTAGAAACTAACACATTTATTTGGGCATAAGCTTTTGTGGGCTAAAACTGACTTCCTCAGATGATGAAGTGGGTTATTGCCCACGAAAGCTTATGTCCAAATAAAGTCATGTTTCCGTACAGCATGTCTGAG